TTAAGTGCTTCCTTTGGAGGGGGGGACACGCAGAGGGGGCTTGGGAAAATCGAGCATGACACCAGCTGAACACCCAGGACAGGCTCTGCAACCAAGGCCTTCTACCCTAGAGGACTCTGCCCTCACCCACTGTCCCTTTAGCTTTGCTGGGACTCAGCCGTCACGAGCTCGTGGGGGAGAACCAGTCAATGTGTCCCATTTGCCCATCTCTGAGTTTTTCTATCGCTGGAACTTAGTCGGGGGAGGGAGGGGGTGCTTGAGTGCTCACTCTCGTTCACATTCTCTCCCTCTCTGCTCATGTATCCCAGGCTGGCCTTGAACTCCCTAAGTAGGTAACGGAGGACGACCTTGAACTTCTGATCCTCCTGTCTCCACCTTTTGAGCTCTGGGATAAGCCCCGCTCTGAGTGTTGGAATTACGAGTGAGCAGTACCACACCCAGTTTTATGTGTCGCTGGGGATTAAAGCAGGGCTTCATGTATGCTGGACAAGCACTCTGCCAACCGAGCTACGTCCTCAGCCCTGGGAACTTTCTCTTGATAGAAGAGGAAACCAAAGCTCCAAGAAACCAGGAGGCTGCCCTGGTCCCATAGTCAGTACCAGAGCCATGCAGAGCCTTCTCATCCCTCCAGGGCCACAGTACCCAACTTGGTCTGCTCTAAACCATTTCATTCCTACCCAGTGGAACCTATCTGTCAGTCAGAGATAGGTGCCCTAGTCAGGGCACCCCACCAAAAGGAGAGAACAATCCTGTTGGAGGTGTCGGGGGAGGGGCATGCGGGGGCCAAGAATGCAAGCACTCTCTGCCTAGGGGCCTGGGCTGGGCTGCCACAGAGGAGCCAGTGTGCCCAGACATTGGTGCTTTGTAAGCCAAGGCTTATGTGGGGACAGTTGTTTTCTTGACCTGACATTGTTTCAGGTTGACTGTCAGTGTCCTAGACCCTAGAGGCGAGCTCTCAGGAGCCAGTAGGGTCTTTGGGAGAGGGTAGCTAAAGTCCTCTAGTCAGGAGCAAGAAGAAGAGAGGACTAATGGGGTCCCATAAGCACCAGGCAGGTCTTCTGGGAGGCTGCCGAGGAAAAGCCAGTCTTAAGGGAAGTCAAAGGTAGGAGAAAGAAGATGTCTTCAGACTTGGGGCCAGAGAAGATCCGTCCACAATGAAGAGTGGACAGAGATAAAGCAGACATGTCCAGGGGTCAGCACCCTCCTGCCAGAGACCTGGAAGCTCTGAGAACTCATCAGTCAAGCCCACAAAGGCAGATCTAGAGGAATCCCCAGGGGCCAGAAGGGCCCAAAGACCTTAGGGACTGGCCAGGCTGGGTGGGGTGGGCCTGATGCACAGCTGTCCAGATGTGGGTGAGAGATAACTCTGTTTATGGGGCACCCGGTCAGAGCAGGGCAAGGGGGTGGGGTGGGAAGGGGCTCCCGGCTGTGGGACGGGCAGATTAGGAGGCAAGGGCATGAGTCAGGGGTTTGGGAGCCTCCCCCAGGGCACCTGCCGGTGCTGTTAGAGCAGTCGGGAGCTCAGCTAGTCGTAGAGGGCACCAGCGGCGGCAAGCAGGACTTCACGAAGGACCCCCAAGGCTCCTGAGCAGGTGGGCAGGGCAGGGGGGCGGCTGGGTGGTCCTCTGGCATCTGTCCTGAGGGTTTGTGAAGGTGGTCAGCTTAGATCTGTGTCCGAGGGGTATGATCTCTGACCTCCAGGTGGGTGGGACAGTAATGTGTCCATGTGTATGTAGTCCCTCGGTGCACCTCTGGCAGGATGAGGGGGCAGTTTTCACAGAGAGAAGTGTGTGTAGCTGGAGTGCATGTTGGGAGCAAAGTTGAGACGTTCCACCAGGTGTAGGTCTCACTTGCTCTCTATCTACCAGTCCCATGAGCCGCGTGGACTCGGGCCTCATTTCCTCCAGATGTGGGGCATCCCCAGGCCACTCCATCTCTCACCTGGGAGACTATATGTCAGCCAGCATTGATTCCTATATGGGACATTTCTAGGGGTCTATTTGGGGGCTTGGCACTGTCCCCAGCCCATAGACCATTGGAAGGGAAAAGAGAAGTGCATCTCTACTGAGGGTTGATAATCTCAGGCTAATTCTATAGGAACTGGAGGAAAGTCGAGGAGGGATGAAAATCGCAAGCCTGACTGATCTGGTCATCAGTGAGAGGCAGGCGTGAGGACAGACTGTGTGCCAGGCACCGGCCATGTGTTCTCTGCATGAACTTCGTCTGCACAGTGGGTCAATCGTGTAGGAATCATTCTTACCAGCTCTTAAAAAAACCCTGAGGCTTGGGGATTCTGTCACCTTCCTGAGCCCACAAAGTTAGTAAATGACGGGGCCAGGATTAAATTAACACAGGAGTCGAACTGCAGAGGCCATGTCTGAACTTCTCATTCCTAATCAGCTAACAGCTGTTTTCTTTTCTGGGAGGCAGTTCAGTGCAGTGGGTAGAGAGGTTTGTGGCATTGTAAGCCAGAGGTTTAATCCTGCCTCTGATCCATCCAGTGCCCCTGACGTAGGCAAACTCCTCTGAATCTTGGCTTTGTCAAAGGCAAAGGCACCACCGATGTTTACTGGCTTCAGTGGTCTGGGGACTGGGAGAGAGAGCGCACCACAGCTGCTTGTGAGGTGTGGGGTTGACAGTAAAAAGGTAGTACTGTGCCACCAGGGAGCTGTCTGTCATCTGTTCCCCTTCCCCCTATGTCTTCCCAGCTGAGCTCCACCTCCTGGGCTCCAGATGGCCCACTTGCCCCTTATCTGTCCTGGCTGGCAGCTGGCCCTCCAGGTGTTTGGGGTGCTTCCAAACTCAGATCACTGAAGGCTCAGGGGCCCAGGCTCTTATCAGGTCCAGCCAGAGTGGGGCAGAGCTAAGAGTATAGGACCAGCAGGCAACAACCTGGGTCTGGAGCACCCTCCAAAGCTCAGCTGGACTCCAGATCCCTTCTGATCTTTTTTCTCTCTCTTGACTGAGTTCCTAGAGGTTGGCATCTGACAGACAGGTGATGGATTTAAACACCTGAGAGCTAATCAAGGCCATTGGTCCAGGCAGGGTCAGGAGGCAGCCTAGGACTCTGGATCCCGGGATATGTCATGTTGTCCCACAGGAGAATCGAGGCACCATTACCATCCCCACAGTGAGATTTTGGTACCTCAGGAGCTGAGGACCAGGAGGAAAGCAGTGTGGACATGTCCAGAGAAGGAAAGAAGAAAAATATAGACTGGAGAAACTGGTTGTGAACCTTTGGGAAAGGAAGGTGAAGGAAAACAGAAAGGGGAAAGATGAATAATACCCAGGGCTGCCAAGAGCAAAGGCCAGAGGGTTGTTCCAGTCTCAGACTCAGGGACACTATCATGGCAGTCACTTGCCATTCCCAAGGACTTGACAATGTCTCTCCCTCTCAGAACCTCAGAACTCTCCAAGACCCAGAAAGTCCTCTGTGTGGTTCTTTCCAAATGTATGATCTGCCCTAGATTCTTACAGCATGGCTGTGTGGCCCTACCTCCATGCTTCTGCCTGCCACCTTCCACCCCTCTGCCTCTGACGCTTTGACCCCATCCTCTGGCCTTTGTCTCCTCTCCTCTGTCTTTCTATCTTCTGCTCCCTTTGCCTTGTCCCCTGCCTTCCACTCGCTGGCCCCTGCTCCTCTGTCCCCCCTCCCCTCCACATCTCTGTCCTAGCCTGCTCCTCATGCCTAGGCTGGTCCTCTTTACCTAGGTCTTGAGACCCATGCTGTGGCCACTGTGCCCTGTACCTGTGTCCTATTTTTCCTCTCTGCAGTATCCAACATAAGTAACCTCCTAAATTCTGTCCATATAGGAAACACTAAGGTTACCTTAAGAGTAGGGACATGCTCAGCTCAGTCTGTTGTGCTCAGCCAAGTGATCACGTTTGATGACTCTACCCAAATGCTTGTCACCCTGAGGTTCCATGTGGCATTGACAAGGCAAAGGAAGCCCCTCCACATCCAACTGGCACACTAGATGACTGGTCCCCACATCCTAGGGTAGGGACACCTTTGTCTTGAGAAAATGAAGGCTGAGGTTCTGTGGCCTCCGGATGGATTTTGATCATTTTGAGTTTGTGATGCAGAGTCAGGTTGGCTGCTAAGTGTGGGGACCCCATGAGGACTGAAGTGTGCAGGGACTTACATTCAAGTGTCTTCCTTTCCAAAGGACGTGTCTGACAATCGCACACAAGTCAGTTAAGAAACCACACTGGACTGGGTCAGCGACTGTCAGGGTGGTTAAGGAAGACCTGTGAAAGGGTGATACTGGAACCAAGGTCAGAGAGGGGCTGAGCTGTTGACAAGAGGTGCACCCAGAAGGAGACACTGAGAGTGCAAAGGCCCTGGAGTAGGCAAGGTCTTGGTGAGTTCTAGGAACTGGAAGGAAGCCAATAGACCAAGAAGAACGCAAGCCTGAGAGGTAGGGATGAGATGGAGAGGACACAGGCTCATGTCCTTCAGGATCTGTGAGCCACTCCCAAGGTCGGACTCTGCAACCTGTTGTCTAGGCAGAAGCAGCCATCTCTAGGAGAAGAGGCTGTGTTATGGAGACTTTCAGGGGAGCCAGGTTCCCTCAAGAGGGTGTAGGTCATGTCCTGGGAGTTGGCTGAGTCCTCAGGGCTCAGAAAGAGAAGTTAGTTAAGGCCTGATGGATAAAGGATGGAGTTAGACACTATTTGACCACTCACCCCAAACACACTAAGGAGAATTCAGCCATACTGTCTCCTGTCCCCCAGCCCCGGCCACATGCCTATACACCTACAAACTCCGATCCTTCCTCCATGGCCACTGCCACCATCTGATCCATCTCACGTCCCCAGGGCTCTTCTGGTAGTAAAAGTTAGCTCCTTTAGGGGGACCCAGAAGCAATAGGAGACCAGTTGATATATGTGACATTACTGTGCCTCATCCAGTCTGCACCGCTCTTCCAGGGACCTTAGGTGCAGGTTATGCTGGGGGTCCAGAGAGAAGAGGACAACTGGACACTGAGGACAGCATCATGGGGGACATGCAGGTAAGTGTCCCCTGATCCATGCAGGGTTCCTGCCTCGGGCTCTGGGAGCCACTCTGGGCTTCTTCTCAGGGGACTTGAGAAGCCACTTAATCCACCCTTGATGGCCTTTCCCCACAGGACCATGAGGAAGTACTGGAGATTCCAGCTCATGACAGCGAAGAAGAACTTGAGCACATAATAGAACAGATAGCATATACAGACCTAGACATTCCTGTGACCGAGATGCAGGAGCCAGAAGGTGAGACCCATGCCATGCCTTCTGCCTCTACCAGAGGAGCTGCTGGGTCCCCATAGGGACAGTAGGGACCCAGTCTTTCCCTTCTCCACAGCTCCAGTCCCAGCCCTGGGGCAAGTTCTCCCCACAATCCTGGTTGATTGAAGGATAAACAGTGTTTTGTTTGAAATGATCACAGGAGGTGACTGGGGGGTGGGGCTGGGCCCTTTTCACATGTGACAGGGCAGCCAGGTATGTCTAGGACAAGGGCACAGACCCAGCTGTTATCCTTTCTGTCCCATATCATCATTGAGGCCAAGCAGCAGGCCTGTTTTTGGATCATCCTGTCTAGACAGCTGGAGATGCTAAGAAATGGGGGAAAGCTGTGGGGATCCCTGGAGCAGGGACCCCAAGAGTCCATACTACCTTCCTCGTCCTGCCCAAGGTCTTAGATCGGGGAGCTTGAAGTGGGGACCTGTTTACTGTCAACAGGGCTTAAGTGTTAGTGATTAGATGTGAAGTTAAGAGGCCCCCTTGGGAAATGAGGGTTGGGGTTGGGGGATATTAGAGGATATAAGGGACTCACCCAATCTGACTGGTGTGTGGTAAGAGGCTACCAGCTGGTGGGGAGAAGAAAGGAGATACAGCAGGGATGGGAGGGGATGCTGGGATGGTTTCGAACACTGGGACTCGGGGCTCTCTCTTCTTATCTCAGAGGAGGGGTTGGGCTGGGGGCCTAGATCACAATGAATTCCAGGTTCCTCAATAAAGTTCAGGTGGAGAGTGGCGACAGACCCAAGTTAGGCCCAGAATAGGCATGGCTGTGGGGCTGGGCAGAGGTCTCAGCCCAGGGGCTGTGGAAGGAGTGGGTCTGGCTTCTTGAGACTCCTGATAGTAGTCTTCTGATACTTCTGATAGTAGTCTGGTAGGGCCTGAGTGAAGGGCCACATCGCAGGCAATGCTAACTGGCAGTTGGGTCTTCAGCTCTTCCCACAGGGCAAGAAGCCACAGACTACGTCCCCACCAGTACCTCCACATCGCACCCCAGCTCCGGTCAGGTGAGGACTCAGATCCATCCTCTTTCTGGAGTTGCCTTGAGATCCATTGTGTACCATAGGAAGGGATAGCTGGAGGAGATACCCAGGCACAGACAAGCAGCTGGAGGGAACATCCTGGGACATCAGTGAAGGAAAAGGGGCGCTCACTAACAGAGAAATGGGCTCTGGCTGAGTTTCCTGGATGGTACTGCTGAGGACTAAGCCAGGGCTTTCAGGCTTGGCTGGGCTGGATACCCACTAGGCATGTATAGAAGCAAGTTCACACTCCCCTCTCCCAGCATCTAAGTCCCCAGTGAGTGCCAGACTGCCTAGCTAGTTTGGGAATTGGATCCCTAAGCTGCGACCAAGAGTAACCACCTGGCCCAGCACAGTATGAGCCGTGTCCCTCAATAGTCTTGGAGATGGGAGATTGACCCAGTGGCTTCCCAAGTCTCTTCAGCCTCGGTCACCAGGCCTCAGTTTTCTGGCCAAGTGACTGCTCGAGGCCCCTCATGATCCAGAGGTCCTTGCCTCTTCTGAAAGATGATAATGGCCTGCTGGGGAGGATACATATGGAGCCAGGGGAGTGGGCCAGACCCACAGGACCCTGCATATCTCCCCACGCTCTGAGCAGGAGGCCTGTCCTGAACCTGCCGGAACCCAGAGCCTTTTCTACGTCTAGCTTAGAGCTGAGTACCTCAGGATCCAGGCTCCCACTCTTCTCTTCCGGCTTGCCCGTGGCTTGAGGGACTAATTCTGGTCATGGGCCTCAGGTCTACGTGGAGCTGCAGGAACTGATGATGGACGGGAGGAACCAGGAACTACAGTGGGTAGAGGCAGCACACTGGATAGGACTGGAGGAAAACCTTCAAGAGGATGGTGTGTGGGGTCGGCCACATCTATCTTACCTGACCTTCTGGAGCCTTCTAGAACTACAGAAGATCTTCTCAAAAGGTGAGTCCTTCTGGGCCCCCTGTGGCTACTGCATAGTTGGCTCTCTGGAGCAACTACTCAGCTTACCACCCCACTGTCTCCAGGCACCTTCCTTCTGGATCTGGAAGAGACATCCCTGGCTGGGGTGGCCAATAAGCTTCTAGACAGCTTCATCTATGAAGATCAGATTCGGCCTCAGGACCGAGACGAGCTGCTCCGGGCCTTGCTACTCAAACACAGGTGCTTTGCCTGCCAGGACCTGGGCTTCACACCCATGGGTTCCTCCCTAGCTCCCCTGCCCCAAGGTCTCCCTACCCTCCCTCATCTCGAAATGGACCCCACCCCACCAGGCAAGAGAACTAATCTTCCTCCACCATGGTTCCCATAGCTGTCTGACATCCCCAAATGGAGCCCGAGATGTCAAGTTCGCACTTACAGAACATGATCTTGAGGCCCTTTCTCCCGTCCATTTTTTTTCTCCCACCTAAACATCCTGGACAGGGGCCACCTGTCTTCCATCCACACTGTCCTTTAAGAGGAGATTGATCTTCCTTCTCCAGGGTCTCCCTAGTTTGGTCACTGGGAAGCTTCACTTAGTGCTCACCTTTGCCCCTCCTGCCCATTTCTTTCACGGGAAAGTCAGTCCAAAATGGTTGACTCGGCCCATGTCACCTGTGTGTTCCACAGCCGTGCTGAGGACCTAAAGGATCTGGAGGGAGTGAAGCCTGCCATCCTGACCCGCTCTGGGGGCCCTTCTGAACCTCTGCTTCCGCAGCAGCCGTCGCTGGAGACCCAGCTGTACTGTGGACAGGTGCGGTTAGGACAAGGTTGGAAGTGAGAAGGGTCAGGAGAAGGAAGGGCTAGATGCTCAGGTCTCCTAGGTTCGGTGTGAGGTCAGACTTAGCTTCCTCCCCTTCCTCTCCACAGGCAGAGGGAGGCTCACAAGGAACCTCAGCATCTGGGACTCTGAAGATACCCCCGAATTCAGAAACCACACTGGTGCTAGTGGGTAAGAGCCCCTCCCACTATGCATCCTACTTTGGGCCCTGGGCAGCTCCCTCCTTGAATTCATAAACTAAGAGTCCCAGCGGCCTGACTTCACCGCCTGGTGCTTCCCACAGGCCGGGCTAATTTTCTGGAGAAGCCTGTGCTGGGCTTCGTGAGACTGAAGGAGGCTGTGCCGCTGGAGGACCTGGCGTTGCCAGAGCCTGTGAGCTTCCTTCTTGTTCTGCTGGGACCCGAGGCTCCACATGTCGACTACACCCAGCTGGGCAGGGCTGCAGCAACTCTCATGACAGAAAGAGTGAGTGGGGGTGGGGTATATGGTTAGCCAGGGAGCTTGTGGGAGGGCAGAAGAGACCAGGTTTCTCCCCCGCCACCCCCGTGGACTGGCTTGACTTTAGATTCACTATTTGGATCCATTGAGTTGAATTCCACCTGTTCCTGCCCAGTCCAGTCTTACCCTGACTTAGATTGGACTGGCTGGTCCAGCCTAGCCCACTCTGACCTGGTTCTAGCTGGCCCAATCTGCTGTGTGGTGTGCCTAGCCCACCAGGGATACGTTAGCTCCTTTTATCCCTCCCAGGGTGCATGCTTTTCCCCAAAGCTGGTCCTTAGAGGTCAGAGGAAACAGAAAGAACCAGAGACCCTGTAACAGCCATGGCTTTGGTGATTGGTCCCTGGCTACACATGTCAGGTCTCCTCCCACCTCTTCAAGATTTTTAGACAAAGTCTTACCATGTACCTCTGGCTGACCTGGAACTCTATGTAGCCCAGGATAGCTTCAAACTTTTGTTGTTGTTGTTGTTGTTGTTGTTGTTGTTGTTGTTTTTCGAGACAGGTTTCTCTGTATAGCCCTGGCTGTCCTGGAGCTCACTCTGTAGACCAGGCTAGCCTCGAAATCAGAAATCTACCTGCCACTGCCTCCCAAGTGCTGGGATTAAAGGCGTGCACACCACCACCGCCCGGGTTTTTTTTTTTTTTTTTCTTCAAACTTAAGGCAGTCCTCCTATCTCCACCTCCTGAGTGCTAAGACTACAGGCAGGCACCACTAGGTTGCCCTGGTCCCCGGGACCTTTTCTCTACAGTCTAAGTGTTCCTGATCTTTCTCCTGCCCATAGGTGTTCCGCATTACCGCCTCCCTGGCGCATAGCCGAGGGGAGCTGGTGAGCTCCCTGGAGAGCTTTTTGGACTGTAGCCTGGTGCTGCCGCCCACAGACGCCCCTTCAGAGCAAGCTCTGCTCAACCTGGTGCCCGTGCAGAAGGAGCTGCTTAGGAGGCGGTACCTGCCCAGCCCCACCAAGCCAGATCCCAACTTGTACAAGGCTCTAGGTACACAGACAAGGTTTCCTGATCTCCCATGGGCCCCTGGACTCCAGTACACTGCTCCTTTCCCCTCAGACATTTGTCCGGGTGGGTAAACCCCTCTGACCATTTTCCTATCCTCTACAACAGACTTGAACGGGGGAAAGGGGGGCCCTGGTGACGAAGACGACCCTCTACGGCGCACAGGCCGGATCTTTGGAGGCCTGGTCCGTGATATCCGGCGCCGCTATCCTTATTACCTGAGTGACATCACCGATGCGCTCAGTCCCCAGGTGCTGGCTGCTGTCATCTTCATCTACTTTGCTGCCTTGTCACCTGCAGTCACCTTCGGTGGCCTCCTGGGTCAGTGACAATTATGGTTCTCCCCTCTCCCCCCAATCCCCTTCCCCCGCCCGAACATTCACCTCTAACCCGCTGACCTCTGTCTCCTCACCTCTGACCCAATCTGAAGCTCTGTACTGTACATCATACCCCATAACTTACTCTTGCCCTCCAGAAGTAATCTCTCCACCTTGATCCTTGTGTGGCTTTTTTCCCCCACAGGAGAAAAGACCCGGAATCTGATGGGGGTGTCAGAGCTGCTCATCTCCACAGCAGTGCAAGGCATTCTCTTTGCACTCCTGGGGGCGCAACCCCTGCTTGTGCTCGGCTTCTCAGGACCCCTGCTGGTGTTTGAAGAAGCCTTCTTCTCGGTAACACTGCCCCAGCCCCACTCTGACCCCCAACCCTGTAGTTTACCCAACTCACCTACCTAGTGCCCACAAGGTCACTAAACCTGCGTTTGTCTCACTGCCTGCAGTTCTGTGAAAGCAATAGGCTGGAGTATATCGTGGGGCGCGCGTGGATTGGCTTCTGGCTCATCCTGCTGGTAGTATTGGTGGTGGCCTTTGAAGGCAGCTTCCTGGTCCAATACATCTCCCGCTACACACAAGAGATCTTCTCCTTCCTCATCTCCCTCATTTTCATCTATGAGACTTTCTCCAAACTGATCAAGGTGGGGCCATAGTGGATGCTAACAGTCCTGTATAGTGTGTCTGTGAGAATGTGTCACCACGTACATGTCTGTACAGAATGACTGTGGCCATGTTTCCACCTATGTATGCACAACCATAAACATGGGCACATGTATGTTTCGGGGTTCACCTAGGATTATGCAGTTGGGTTTCTTGGGACCCCGTAATGGCTTGAGAGTGACTCGATGCTCATGGCCTGACTGTATAAGGGAAGGCACCTCTGTCTACACTTATTCATGTTTATAACTGCACATCGTGTGACAGTGCGCACTATCTATGGGATGGCAGTGAGGCAGGAGATGCTTTGGAAGCCCTAGGCCCCTCCCTTCCTTCACTTGCTCTCCAGAACCCCACAGGGCCTCTGCCTCCATGGCTTGCCTCCTCCCCCCGAGAGCTCCACCCACCTCCACATCTGGACTGTGTATGGAAGAAGGACGACCTGTGCGTGTCCTGATTCTGTTGATTGGCAGGCTCTTTTGTCTTCTGAAGAGCTTTTTGTTTTGTTTTTGTTTTTGTTTTTTTGAGACAAAGTTTCTCTGTGTAGCCCTGGCTGTCCTGGAGCTCACTCTGTAGACCAGGCTAGCCTCGAACTCAGAAATCCGCCTGCCTTTGCCTCCCAAGTGCTGGGGTTAAAGGCGTGCGCCACCACTGCCCGGCTCTGTAGATCTTTTAAGGAGATTTTATTTATTTACTTATTTATTGTGCTGGGGTTCAAACCTCTTGTACACCAGGTAAATGCTGTTCCTGTCACCAACTCCTTAAGCCATTTTCATAAACCTTCTTATTACTTACTGCCGTCTCCAGAATTCTCACGGTCCACACAACGCCTGGAAGCGTATACCTGCACATGCAGTCTCATTGCTTCTTGGACCCTTCCCACACTCCCACACAAACTAACTTGTTCTTCATCCTAAAAAACAACAACAACCAAGCAGGTTAATAAGTCAGATGAGAAGGGAGGTGGCCAGATGGATGGATGCATGAATTGGGCTATGGGTGGTAGGTTCTATGGACAGTAGATGGATAGATGGATGTCCAGACAGCTGGTTGATAGTGCCCAGTCAACTTATCTGACACTGTCTAGATCCAGCCTAGGCTTGGGAGGGAACACAATGTTTTGTTGGTTACAGATTTTCCAGGACTACCCACTACAACAGAGGTATGACCCTGTTGTGATGAAGCCCAAACCTCAGGGCCCCGTGCCCAACACGGCTCTCTTCTCCCTTGTGCTCATGGCTGGTACCTTCCTACTTGCCATGACGCTACGAAAGTTCAAGAACAGCACCTACTTTCCCGGCAAGGTCAGTACACCCCTGCCCTTACATTCACCAACCCTAGCTTCTTTAGTATCCTCGACTCCCCTTCACACCCCAGACCCCTGTTTCCAAGGACCATGTTACGTGCAAACCCATCTCAACTCAGCACCAAGATCCAGCAGAGAACCAGGGATAGACAATTGTTGGGAGAGGGAGAAGGGTAGGGCCAGAGGAAGAAGGAAGGCAGGGATAGCTGGAGTAGGTAGACACTGGCTCTTGATGGACCTCTCTGGATGAGCAGAGTCCCTGGTAAATGGAGGATGGGGAAGAAGGCAGATGGAAGACAGAATATGGACACAACTGGTTCCTTTATCTGCTTACAGCTGCGTAGAGTCATCGGTGACTTTGGGGTCCCCATCTCCATCCTGATAATGGTCCTGGTAGATTCCTTCGTCCAGGGCACCTACACACAGGTGAGTCTTCTTTGTGCTCTGGCTTGCCACCGTAACCTTCATTTCCTTCTTCTCCTCTGTACCCTGCCAGAATAGCTTTTCCTAACTCAAAGCCAGCTAGAATTCCTTCCCCATCCTCGGTCTTCCAATATTCCCTCGAGACCCCTCCACTCAAGCAAGAGCCTGAGCCACCTTGCTCTTTTTATTCCTTTGCCCAGGGCCATAGGAGAGGGTGCACATTGAGCCAGGCAGATTCAGGGGTACAGCTCAGCCAGGGGTACAGCATGAGGCAAGCTATACAATCTCTCTGATATTGTTTTGTTTGCCCACAACATCAGGAATGAGAGGACACATACAGAGAGGGCTTAGAGAAGCACCCAGGGCAAAGCAAATGTCCAGTGAAGCAGTTCCTTTACCACTTCAACCCAACTCGCTGCCCCAGGACCCTGGCTTCCCTGACTCCATGTCTCCCTAGCCATCTGGTTCCAGGTTCTCACCAGCTGTCTCTTCCCACAGAAACTCTCAGTGCCTGACGGCCTCAAAGTGTCCAACTCCTCCGCCCGGGGCTGGGTCATCCACCCCATGGGTCTTTATGACACGTTCCCCATGTGGATGATGTTTGCTTCTGTTCTGCCTGCCCTGCTTGTCTTCATCCTCATATTCCTTGAGTCTCAGATCACCACGTAAGAGCAAGGAGAGAGGCTTGGCCAGGGAGGGCTGGAGGCAGGGAGGAGAGCAGGCTCTGGGCCAGCAGGAGACTGGCCAGTGGCCCTCTGCCAGGGGATGGGAGTGATGGGGCATCAGAGGCAGGTCTGAGTTTTGTGGCCCCTGGGGTGGCATCATTTGAAGACCTTGTAAACTGGGAGCTGTAAACTCCACTGCTGGATGGTGAGACAGGCCTGAACAGCCGGGTGGTTGAGGGAGAGGGCGCTGAGGGGCGCTGAACAGTCAAAGCTCCCTGAAGCTGAAGTTCCAGGATTTAGGCAGGAACACCTGAGGCCTGAGGTGTTTCCAAGACAGCTAGCCCTCAGAATCTGAATTCTCAAACAGCCAGAGGGAGGGAGCCAGGAACTCAAAGGAAAATGAGAACAGAAAGCAAAAAGAGACCCAGAGGGACTGGTGTGGGGAAAGAAAGAGGAGCTCACAGGGAGGGCCCAGCTCACCAGACTTCCCTTCCCCTCTCAGGCTGATTGTCAGTAAACCAGAGCGGAAGATGATCAAGGGCTCCGGCTTCCATCTGGACTTGCTTCTGGTCGTTGGCATGGGTGGGGTGGCTGCCCTCTTTGGGATGCCTTGGCTCAGTGCCACGACTGTGCGTTCTGTTACCCACGCCAATGCCCTCACAGTCATGGGGAAGGCCAGTGGTCCAGGGGCTGCAGCCCAGATCCAAGAGGTCAAGGAACAGCGGATCAGCGGGCTCCTGGTCTCTGTGCTCGTGGGTAAGTGGGGTTAGCCATGCCCCTCTGCCCTGCTCCACTCTTTTCTGGCCCTTGTTCTTGGGATGGGGGCTCTTCCCACTCAGAAATCCCACCTCCACTATCTCCCCCGCCCAACTCTGACTCTTTCTCTTGGAGTTGGGGCATGAGGCTCCCATGTGGTCTATCCAGCATCTAGGTCCCTATCCGCCAGTTGCTCAAGCGTCCCCAGCACTAGTTCCTCACAGGAGGGGATCTAGCAGAAGTGAGGAAGCACAGGGCCCTGGGATACTGTGATGGGCATTTGTTCAGGGCAGGACGGCTGCACTGTTGGGCTCTTTCCAAGTCAGATCCTACCTCCACATGCTTAGCCAAGAGGAATGTAAGAAACTGTGGGGGGTTGCCCTGCCCTGCCTCAGGCCTCAGTTTCCCCATCTGCACAGTTAGAGGATTTATTAAATCTCTGAGATTTTTTTCTGGATTGGTGCCTCTAAGGTTGATAGCATGCTTCGGTCTAAGGGGTGGCAGAGAGTCCCTGGGCTCGGTAGGGTGTCCGAGAAGCTGAGTCCAGCTGGGAGAGCAGGGTTGTAATCCCTGATGGAGCGGTCTAAAGTTCCCCCTTCCTTCTCTCCACTTTTCTTCCTTTCCATAAAGGATAATGGAGGCATCCTGGAGTGAGGAGAAACACAGGTTCCTCTGAGAATCATCCATGGCCCCAACTAGGTAGTGGGTGTAAGGCAGGGAGGGGTTTGACTCCTTAGAAAGATAACCTTCCAGGTTGTTCCCCTCTGAGCCGATACACAGATGATGCAGGAAAGGGCCACATGGCACTTATGGTTTCATGCTTGGCCCCAAGTATGAGCAAAGCCCCATTGGTGCTGAACCCTGGGTGATCTGAACTAAGAGCGTGTCTCTCCTCACAGGACTGTCCATCCTCATGGAACCTATCCTGTCCCGCATTCCCCTGGCTGTGCTGTTCGGCATCTTCCTGTACATGGGAGTCACATCCCTCAGTGGCATCCAGCTCTTCGATCGCATCTTGCTCATGTTCAAGCCTCCCAAGTACCACCCGGATGTGCCCTTTGTCAAGAGGGTACTCGACTTTGCAGCTGTCTAGCTGGGGTGGGGGAAGGGTGTCAGAACAGGGCAGACACTGACCCGGGCTCCCCCACAGGTGAAGACCTGGCGTATGCACCTCTTCACGGGCATCCAGATCATCTGCCTGGCGGTGCTGTGGGTGGTGAAGTCCACTCCCGCCTCGCTGGCCCTGCCCTTCGTCCTCATCCTCACCGTGCCTCTGCGCCGTCTCCTTCTGCCGCTCATCTTCAGAGAACTGGAACTCCAGTGTGTAAGTAGCGGGGACCCTGGGTGGGAGGAAGGTCCGGTAACGCGAATCGTGCGTCTTGGAGCTGGGGAGACGGGGAGACGGCAGAGTGAGGTGGATAGGCGTGGGTTTAGGAATAGATGTAGTTCCGTTGGTAGAACACTTGCTTCCAGAGCACAGGGTCCTGGATTCAATTCCCAGCACCCCATAAACTGTATATAGAGGTACATGCTTATAATTCCAGCACTAGGGAGGTAGAGGCAAGGGAATCAGAAATTCTAGGTCATCCTTGGCCACATGGTTCAAAGCCAGCCTGAGTTACATAAGATGCCATCTTAAGAAGAAAAAAAAATTCTGTATCCAGGGCCTTTGTCTCTGTCTCCGTCTGCCGTGTCCAAGCATATGATCTGGAACAAGCGACCTCATTTCCCTATGGCCCCCCAGTGCAGGGAGGAATCATGACAGGCTGAAAGCCTTCTAAGGAGCACACGGTGTGTCCCACACGAGCTGCTGAGCAGTTAGTTGTATCATCGTCCAAGTTATTTGGGACATTCGGTCAGGGGCTACCATGGTGAGGGGAAGCCCCGCCTACCTTTTCGCAGGTTCTCCTCACCAGACCCTCAGGGGCCACCTTCCCCTTTGTAAACCACGCACCTAGACCAAGCCTATACTCTAGGGACAGCACAGGGCTTGTCCAGGCTGGTTCCTAACTCGAGAGGTGCCCCAAGCCCCTCAAAGGGCTCATCCTGTCCTGGTCTCTCATCCTTTTCCCTCCCACCCCTCTAGCTGGATGGTGATGATGCCAAAGTGACCTTTGACGAGGAGGAAGGGCTGGATGAGTATGACGAAGTGCCCATGCCTGTGTGAGGGGCAGGCCCAGGCCCCCAACCACTGCACTTTTCCATCCTCCCAGGAAGACCTTCATGGGTGTGTCATGGCTGTGGGTGGGGAAGGAGGGGTTGTCAAGGAAACCCTCTATCTTAGGTACACTGGATTCTCTGGCTGGAGATGACCAGAAGCTATATCAGGGATTTGGGGTCACAGTCTCTTGCGACTGTACGGGTCCCATGCTGGAAAAGTTAGGTCTGCATATCCTCCTTTCATGGCCCAGTTATAAATAGCAAAGGGGAGAGACGGAGGACACTTTTCAAGTTCCTGCTGGCTGTGTGGCCTTATGTAAGTCTCTTGACCTCTCTGGCCTCTGCTTCCTACTCTATAAAATGTATGCATTGGTAAAAATGCCTGTGTTACCACATGGCTACTGAGGACCAAGAGCAAATATATAAGAACCATTACAGCCTTCATTGTTTTTAGAGCCTGCCCAGATCACACAGCCCCTGGGCCACACAGCAGGGACCTAAGCCTCCTGGCCTGGAGGCCGCAGCTCTGACTTCCATCTTCCCACCATGCCCTGTGCAGAAATACCCCTAATGACTCCCTTCCATTTTCTGTCCCAGCCCCGCCCCAAGACGCCCTTCTCTGATTCCAGAGTCATCCTATTAAGAGTAAGGTACAGGTGAGAGACTGGAGCTTAGATTCCTAAGTACTTGCTCTCTCCCACCAGGTATTCATTCATTCATTCATTCATTCATTCATTCATTCACTCCATAGCCACCTACTAAAGGCCCTAGACTTAGTGGACACAGAGGGAATTGGTTCAAGCTCCTCCTGTGGGGTGAGGCTAATACCTATGTCTGCTCTGGACTTGGGTGGGGGTAATGGGAGGGTGGGAGGGTTGTAATTTATTGACTGTGTATTTTCTAAGTGCTTTTTTCTGCGCCTCAGTTTTGCTCATACACTCAGCCCCCATGAGAGCCCTGCCGTATCCAACCCCAGCTAAACTGAATCTTGTGGGGGGGGGGCAAGTTTTGACCCATTGGAGTAGGAGATAGTGGCTTGTTCAAAATATAGATAGACATCTAATTTTTTTTTTACAAAAAGATAATATTAAAAAAGAAAAAAAAGCCGGGCGGTGGTGGCACACACCTTTAATCCCAGCACTTGGGAGGCAGAGGCAGGAGGATTTCTGAGTTCAAGGCCAGCCTGGTCTACAGAGTGAGTTCCAGGACAGCCAGGGCTATAAAGAGAAACCCTATCTCGAAAAACCAAAAAAAAAAAAAAAAATTGAAAGAACCGGAACTTTGAAAGAAACAGAAAATCTGAGTGACCAGGCAGCGGGAGACTTCTGGTGGGAGATTCTCAGGGGATTTGAAAGCACATGCCTGCCTCCCAGCACCTCACCACAGGACGCTTGTCTCCTCATCACAGAAATGAGGACAATGACGTGCCTACCTTGTAGGGAGTTGGGAGGATTGACCGACACAGTCTAAGAAAGCATTTGCTGAGCACAGAGCCCTCCTTGTGGGGATCTGCTGATGTGACCATGCCGTTGGGCACACCCCTCTCCCTTCCTGCCTTGCCTGCTCCTTGAACATTACCAAAGAGAGTGGGGATTGTCGCCCACTCTGCCAGTGACCTTCCCCACCGCCGTGCTTGGGAATAGGTTTTGCCAATAAACGTGTCTGTGTTAAAGGGGTGCCTTGCTTGAAGTCCTTTCTCAGAGTTGGAGTGCCCCAGGGGTCTTAACCAGACCAGGTGGACATGATGACACTAGATGGAACCCTTGTAGGGCTTTGACCATGAGAGGGTGACTAGAGTCATGCTGGGCGTGGCCCTGAGCCTAAGCATGTTCCCCTGGGCCAGCCAGTTCCCCTAGGGTGGGTGATGAATTCGGAGATGAATTTGAATTCTGTACAACCTTCCTCTGCTGAGTAAGAAAGATCTGACTGAGCCGGGCGGTGGTGGCTCACGACTTTAATCCCAGCACTTGGGAGGCAGAGGCAGGTGGATTTCTGAGTGAGAGTTCGAGGCCAGCCTGGTCTACAGAGTGAGTTCCAGGACAGCCAGGGCTACACAGAGAAATCCTGTCTCGAAAAACCAAAAAAAAAAAAAAAAAAAAAGAGACCTGACTAGAGGGGTAGGCAAAGGGACTGTCAGAAGACCTTGCCCTCTGCACTCGTAGCTCCGCCCACTCCCCCACCCCGAGTCTCTTTAAACCCTCAGCTCTGTATCCTAGATCCAAAAGCTGAATGGAACCTTTGAGAGCAATATTAGGCGGACACGAAGGTCAAAAGAGGAAGTTAGCTTTCCAGATGCTGGCCACGAAAGCAGCCTCTCTCCCTCACTCTCTCTTACCCCAGAACAGCATCTCTTGACCAGCTTTTCATTTTCCCTCACTCTGGTCCCCGACCCCAACTGCTTCCTGCCGTTCTAAGGTGCTCTTAGGCCAGGCTGTCGCCCACTCTGGAAAGGAGGATGCTGGCATACCAGACCTCCCCACCCTCCTCAGCCTTCAGGTAGAGATCAGTGTCTTTGCTTCCTTCCCTGGGTCTATATCTACTACCTGACTACCCTGAGCTGATCTCCTCCCAGGCTGGGGCAAAAGGCCTGGGTGCTAACTGGGCCCCAAGGAGAGCTATTGAAAAACCTGTTTTCCATTTGTTGCAGTTGCCCGTTCCCCACAGGCTTAGGCCTGTCCCCGGGGGGTGTTATATTATCCTCACCCTCCACTGCTAGTCTCTGAGACTGAGACAGGCCTGCAGAGGTCTGAGGCCTAGCACTCTCTCACAGGAGCGCCATGCAGCCCTAGGTCACCCAGCAGCTCTCAGAGCCTGGATTTCCTGCTGGGCCTCTTCTTATACATCTTTCCACTCTCCGGAGAAACCAACCAGATTTAGGAAACAACTGCCACCTTAACTTGGAGAAGTTCCTGCCCCTCAAACCTTACACCCATCTCCATTTTTTTTTCTTTCTTTCTAACTTTTGAGTCTGGGTCTCTTATCACCCAAGCTAGCCTTAAACTTATAATCTAGCTCAGGATGAAGATCTTGAACTTCCGGTTCCCACTGTTTCTTGAACCCTGGGATTCCAGGATGAATGTGTCTCGCTACACTTGGCTTTGGAATCGTTTTTTTTGTCACAGTGTTGGGAGCAGCCCTCACAGCCTGGTGTATGCCAGGCAAGTCCTGTTCTGTTGAGCCGCTGTCCTGGCTCTGCCCTCTCCAATACGTTTTGTTTGTTTGAGATGGGTTTCTCTGTGTAACAATCCTGGCAGTTCTGAAACTTGCTTTATAGTCCAGGCTGGTCTCAAAGTCACAGTGTTAGCATTTCTTCTAGGCTCTGCCCCACAGTTACCTGACAACAGCCAGGTAGGCCTGACTCACTATAAAAAGGGGCTACTTGTCCTCTCCTCACTCTCTTCTCTTGTTCTTGCTCTCTTCTTCTCTTCTCCTCTTCCCCCTCTGTCCCTTCTCTCCCCATCCCCCTCTCTCTCTCCACGTGTTTATGGCCTTATGGCTGGCCTCCTCTTTTCTCTCTCTCCCTCTCTCTGCCTTTTTCTATCTCTACTACCCCTTCAACTCCCCTCCCCATGCCCTAAATAAACTCTATTCTATACTATACGGTTGTGTGGCTTGTACCTCAGTGGGGAAGGGATGTCTCAGCATGGGCCTGCAGAGGCACCCCCCTTCTCCCACCCCCTACTCCCACCCCATACCTCACCTCCACCAAACATACCCCTTTTTTCTTAACTTTTTATAAAACACAACACACGGAGACAGGCACAATCTGCCTGTCTCCCAAGTGCTGGGATTAAAGGTGTGCACTACCACACCTGGCAACTTGAAGAACTGGCCTGCCTCCATTTTAGGCTGAAAAGCCATTTTATAGTAAAGACAGACTAAGCTCATTCCTTTTTATGGTTAAGGTTCTGTTTCTCGTTTTTGTTTGTTTGTTTTGTTTTTCGAGACAGGGTTTCTCTGTGGAGCCCTGGCTGTCCTGGAACTCATTCTGTAGACCAGACTGGCCTCAAACTCAGAAATCCGCCTGCCTCTGCCTCCCAAGTGCTGGGATTAAAGGCGTGCACCACCACTGCCCAGCAAGGTTCTGTTTCTCAAGGATTGGGCTATGCCTCATCTGCAACCTTAACTACACATGGTTCTATCCTGCCTACTCCAAGAATGTCAATCATGTCTTTGTTTCAGAAAGTCATTTATAACCACTTTGCAACCCTACCTTTGTTTCAAAAGGTTATAGAACCACCGGTGACTACTTTGCTCTGCCCATCTTGCAACCATGTCTTTGTTTGAGGGGGGGGGCTAACTTATACTCTGCTCCTGTAACCTCACTTATTTTGCCCACCAAATCCCCCATTTGGGAAGCCCCCACCCCTGAGTTGACCTCTCAAACCCCACCTTAGGGGGAGGCAGTCCAAGGACATGAATTAAAAAGCTTGCTTTAGCTGGGCGGTGGTGGCGCACGCCTTTAATCCCAGCGCTTGGGAAGCAGAGGCAGGTGGATTTCTGAGTTCGAGGCCAGCCTGGTCTACAGAGTGAGTTCCAGGACAACCAGGACTACATAGAGAAACCCTGTCTCGAAAAACAAAAACAAACAAAAAAAAACAACAACAAAAAGCTTGCTTTAATGAAATCATCTGCTTTAATTAATTTGACCATGATGATTCCAGTCAGTGGTCTTTCTCCTCCCGTCTTTGGGATTACCATTACCTCCAATTTTTCATCTGTCTTGTGAGACTAGCTTTGAGGAAGAACGAGGCTGGGACCCTGGCTAGAATCCTTAGGACGGACACCGCTCACTGCTCACAGGATTGGATTCAAGCCCTACAACCACCGACAAGTCAAGTCCGACAAGTTCCAAGTCCGTCCCTACTTTGCAGCCAGATCCCCAGGTTATTTGTGGGTCTGACCTGGAGGAGACACTTACCTTTAGAAAAAGGGAAAACCACAAGAGGGTGGGAGTATGGTGTCTCAGCCCATCCCCCACCCAGCACACCCAGCAAGCATCCTGGG